CTTATAATCCTAAAACCATTAGTTCAGATGATGATTATTTTGTAATAATTACGGTTATTGTAAAAATTAAATTTAATGTGTTAGAGACTTTTTTCTTAATCTCTAAATTTCAAAAAATTTTGTCCTTGATTGTAATTAATGTTCTCAGAGACTTTTTAGCTGTCATCGTAAGACAGATTCAAACACATACACATATATATATATATATATGTATATAAAATGTGAATCATCTTATAAGAATACAGTGGAAGACTTTAGAGTTACCTCTTGCCATAACTTTTGCTTAATTGATCTTAGGATCTGAGATAGGAGATAAAAAAATGTAAAACAATATTAGAGTCAGAAGAAAACAATTTTACAGGTCTCTTCTAACTAGCAAAAAGGCACAGTGATGACAACTAAAATCAGCCATCACCATTCAGGGAATCTTAAAAGAGCATATAAGATTTTTCTCTCTTTGAATGTATCGCTTAATATTTTCAGCCGTTAGAACAGTTGATTGTAATTCTCGTCATCAGAGCAAACACAATATTGATTGAAATTAATAACTCTACTGGGCTTTGGCCTTATTTGACCACAGGCCACACTCAGGACTTTTTATTAATTTTCCAATTAAATATCTAAATAGTTTTAATAATAATAAAATATCTCACGGTCATTTCACTTTAAGTAATGTTTAGAGTTCAAAAGTTTAAATAAAAAAAATCATGCTGGCAAAAAAAAATCATACTGGAAAAACTATCTTAACTGAGTCCTAATCAAAATTGACACCTTAGATAATCGTATTGAAAAAGGAAAACAGATGTTTTTGAAAACTTTTATCTTCAGAAAATGAAAATATTTATTACCATTTTTTTTCAATTATTCCTAAAGATATCTTCACTAAATTTTATTATGGAGTCAGAGAAAAAACTATGGAGCGAAATAAATAAAGCAAATTAAACTTATATCAGGAAATTCAAATAGAATTCTGATACCCTATTTGTTCTTTTTTTTTTTAACTTGTGCAAAAAACCTTAAATGAAAAAAAGGGATGCCTCACTGTTGCTATCGAGAAGCCAATCGCCTGCTTTGGAAATGCATGAAGTTTGATGAAGTTGGGAAAATCTCTATAGTTCAACCGATCAACAGACTAAAATGCGCCGTGTCTTTTTCTTTTTGTTTTTTGTTTTTTTTTTTTTTTTTTGGTTTCCCTCCCGATTTTCATGATTTCTGAACGGATTACTCGCAAATTTGACAAGGGTTAAGGTGATTTTTAGCTCGAAGTATTTTTTTAGGGCATCCAACACCCCAAAATAGTATGTGGTGTATTCAGCAATCAACATCCTGAAGTCTTTTTTAGATTTGTATAGTATCCTGAAGTATTTTTTAAATGCATCTAGTATCCTGAAATTTTTTTTGTCTTGATGTTAGATACACCAAAAAATATTTTTGAGTGCTAGATGTATCTAAAAAAATATTTAAGGTGCTAAATGTATCAAAAATACTTTAGGATATTAGATGCACTTAAAAAATATATACACTTAAGAAAATATTTCGATATGTTATATGTACCTTAATCCATTTGATAATTTGATACGCACACTTAAATAATAAAATAAGATTATTTTATTTTCCTTGCATAATTCTATTCTGTTAACCATTTACACGAGCATTTGGGAAAACAAGATTGGATTAGAAGCAGAAGCATTTAATTTTATCCTGCAATTCGAATCTAAAATTTGCCCCGGAAAAAAAAAAAAAGGCCAATTCGAATCTAAAAGCTGAGGAACTCATTTCGAGACAAATATACAATTTGAGATAATTTAGGAATTCTTCGAAGGCTTTAAAACACTATCCATAAGTTTACAAAGTCTTCTTATTACAAGAGTCAAGTCCACAAGATTTTACCAAAATCTTGCCGCTTATTTGAAAAGGACGATCCTGCTGGTCAAAAAGAAAAGGATGATACTGATAATACTCCTCGTATCTTTGAATATAAGACTTATATTTCATATTTAATTTTGTTATATGATCCTTAATAATATTTTTCAACAATAATCAACTTAGTAATATTTCTTAACAATAATCAAGTAGTTATGGGGAGATGTATGCTATTAAAAAAATAATTAGGATATTTTATTAAAAAAACAAATTTTATGTTTATTATAGTTAACTAAATTATCTAAATTGGCCTAATCAAATTAGTGAAATAGTAAGTTTTACATTAAAAATCATCTACATACATTAAGTCTTGGCCTGAAGAATTTGATTTGGATGTCTTCTTTGAAGAAAAAACAAAAGATCTCCGCAAGCTTCCAAGTGACGTTCTTTTGTGGTTACTCAAAAAGCCTACTGTTATTGATAATGTGCTCCTCAAAGAGTCAAAGTGATAACAAAGAAACTAATTAAAGACCACACATATTTTTCGTAATTTTTGTCTCCGTCATTACGAATTGCCAATTATTTTCCAACTAACACTTTACCATATGCATCATTCACAATTTTTGTCTTTTTTTTAAACCAAATTTACCATATGCATAACTTGGCGTATCCCTCACTATGGGAGACATAAGAAGCCAAAAGGCCCACCTCTCACTATAGGGGGCGTAAAGAGCTAACCATCATGCATTAATGGAGGCCTTACCACGTGGTACTGTCAACCATGTCTCTTACCATTTCCTAACACATGAATCATGTTCAAGTATTTACTAATGAATAAGTTCACATTTCATAAGTAACTTCAATAAAGGGCATATCTTCCAAAAACTCCCAATACATTAATACCATGCAAAACCCCACAAGAAAATTTCCCTTTCCATATATAAAATACATTTAGAATAACATTTGTTACTCTAAGCACAAAAACATAAATCCACTCACAATACCATAATAGCATGTATAAAGGATTGGAAAGTAGTTACCTCTCGTCTGAACAAGTAATAACAAACCACCAATGATGCCCCGTACACTAACATAACCCACAACCAGTCTACACAAGCACACAAACACATAGACCACTACATATTAGCTTTCAAATTAATAAAGTGGCCAAAATAACACTTAAGGACACAAAATTTCTAACCTCAACCAAAACTCTACCCAACTCCAAAGGGCATAACCATAAAGGCAACACTACAAGGTCATGAAAATCCATTAAAACATTAAATTCCCCTCCAAGCATCAATTAGGATTCAAACCACAAGGACCCACTCTAAGAATTTCACACTCAAATATCCAAGGAGAACAATTCAAGTTCTAATAACATTCTAAACTGATTAAAAATTCAATTTAACCCTCCTTAACATAACCTAATTCACAAAACTCAAATTCAATCTCCACATTATCATCCTCAGTCATAAACTTCTATTTTCCATAAATCCTCAAAAATCCCAAGAAAGAAAGTAGATTAGAGGTTAAAATCACTTACTTAAGCCAATAGACCCCTAGAAACACCTTCTCCAAGCCAAAATTCCAAAACCCTAACAGAGCTCCAACTTCCATCTTTAGAAATTTAAATTTTTACACATCAGACCCCTCCTGCATATTTATAAATTCGGGGCCTTCACCATAGCGAACCCCATACTTGGTCATGGTGAACTAATCTAGAGATGGTTTTAGTCTCCTAAAAACCCTACTTTGCCGCAGCAAACTCCAATCTTTGCCGCGGCAAGACATTCCCAAGAGGAATTCTCGCTCGTCCAGATAACCTTCACCTCGGCATACCCCTAACCTCACCATGGCGAGACCCTCCCGAGAGGGAAACCTTGCTCACCTGAACAACTTTGCCATGATGAAACATGCCCGAAATGACACATTCCTTGAACTCCAAAGTTCGCCGCAGTGAACAAATCCCAGGAGGGATTATTCACTTGATTCTTCCAACTCACTTTAATCCCAAACCAAACAATAAGATTCAAGTTTAAACACCGATTATCCTCAAAAATCAGGGTTAAAGGGCTATTAAAACTCAAAATAAAACTCAGAACGTTACACTTTTTCTCTCCTTATCAAATCCTTTAATTTCATTCTATGAGCACCATTAACCCCAGAAACTTTGCTCTGTTAATATTGTTAGCTCTTCTATAGAAGCTAATTATGTTAAGAGCATAAAATTAAAGGATTTAATAAAAAATAACACCCATGTACCATTAATTTAACATAAATGTGCTATTAATTTTTCTGCCAAATCTTTATTTTAAAATTTAACAAATTTTTAGCTTTATCTCTATCTTACATATGGACTTTTCAACAAAATAACAATTAATTAACACAAGAAAAAATGAGGGTAAAATAGTACATTTCTGTTAAAAATGTGCAATATGACTTATAAATAGGATAAAAATCTTCTCTCTCTACCTTATTTTTATAAATAGAACTAGAATAGTAATATATAAATAAGCGAATTATGCAAATAAAAAGTTGGTTAAAAAAGATAGACAGTATAAAAAAGTATTTTATTTTTAAAAAATACTCAAATAAGGAGAGAGAGTTAATGAAAGAGATGATACGTAGGAAAAAGATGTGTGTGAGAAATAAATAATGCAGTACATAACATGTGATTAATAGGAAAAGTAGTTTGGCAATAAAATTAATAGATAAAGAAATGAAAAAAGTTGGTTAAAATTTCAGACATTGTCTAGGTGTAGACTAATCCACGTCCGCCTCTAAAAATTCTTTCTCACATGGATTTAATTTAATTTGGAGTTCTGGAAAACTTAAAATATAAATCAGTTTTCATGAAGTTTAGGAAAAAAATTGAATTTTCTTAATATGGATTTTGGGTTTATGGTTCTTTCACAAGCTGTACTAAATTTTAGAATTCAGCAAATAATAATTGCCATCATTTTTCAAAAGAAGGGGCATGGCAGGGCCCCACACACAACCTGAAAAAGGTTTAGACTTCTGCCATCGCATCTCGTCTTTTTTTTTTTTTTTAAATCCTTTTGGTAGGTTATAATTACTTTTTTCATAGAAATTTTTAAATAGTACTAAGATAATTTGGATATGGAGAAGTATAAATGTGTTTTATTCCAGGATGGTCCATACTTGCTGCTGTAATTGATCTACTAAACATGGGAAAACTTGCTTCCTTTGTTTTCATTTTCTTCCTTCACTACTTTATGGCCTTCTTGGCATGGAGCGAGGGGAATTCCACTGTCGACAAATATGCACTGCTTGCTTTTAAAGCATCTATTGTGGATCCATACAATCTCTTGGCCAACTGGTCTGACTCTTCTTCTTCTCCATGTGATTGGGTTGGTGTTGGATGCAATACACGCCACAGAAGGGTTCATTCCTTAAAACTTAGTGATGCGGGTCTTAAAGGCATCATATCTCCATGGCTAGGAAATCTGTCATTCCTTGTTGAACTTGATCTAAGTATCAATGATTTTTACGGTGAGATACCAAAAGAGTGGGTACAATTGCGTAGGTTGAAACTGCTCAACATGAGCTACAATAACTTTCACGGGCAAGTTCCAATGTGGATAGGAGATTTATCTATGCTTGAGTACCTGAGTTTTCGAAATAATAGTCTCATTGGATTTATTCCATTATCTCTATTCAATTTATCAAGGTTGGAGATCTTGGATTGGAATTCTAACTTCATTCAGGGAAGCATTCCACTTGAGATAGGAAATTTGAAGCACTTGAAGATGTTACAAATTGCAGGGAACAAACTTTCTGAAACTATTCCACCAACAATTTTCAACTTATCTTCACTTCAAAAATTGAATTTGTCCCATAACACTTTGTCAGGTATGTCATGGATAATTTGTAGTGTCTATAGGTGTTGGTTTCTGATGTTTTAATTTTTCTCCCGCTTTCCATGTTTTGTATATTTCAGCACGCCATAGGAATGACACTTTGGTCTGTGGATATTAGTCCAGCCAGATTGGAACGCTCATGGCTTTTTGAAAATAATTATTTATTTTAACATTTAAAGTATATTATAGGCGTTATCTCTCAAAATGAGTAAGAAGATTATGGTCTCAAGTGCATTGATTCTAAGGTTAAACCATAAATTTATGCTGAAAGTTTTCACTAGGGAGCACTGAGGATTCAAAAGCTTTTTTGGATTTAATATTGCCTCGAAAGTTTAAAATTATAATAATTTTACCCTGTTGTTAAAAAGCTAACATTGACCGTTAACATAATGACATAAGTCATTAACATTCTTAATGGTGTGGGGCAAAATTGTTTATGATTTTAAACTATGCAGCAATATTGAACCCAGAAAAACTTTTGAGACTAATTTACTATATTGACTTATGACGTTTCTGACGTGCTCCATGTTTTCAATATTTTAAGGAGCTATTCCAAATGAAGATATTATATATCTCACAAGTCACAAACAATTGATCGCTTTCAGGTACTATACCATCTTTATTATTTAATAATTCAGATCTGCAAGAATTGTCACTCTCCCAAAATCAATTATATGGCAGTCTCCCAACCAACGTGTGTTTTGGGCTCCCGAGACTTGAATTTTTCTCTGTGGCTGAAAACGATCTCTCCGGTGAACTGCCATCTAGTTGGCATCAATGCAAAGAACTGAAGGTTTTGGAATTAGGTTTTAACAGGTTCAACAGAGGATACATACCAAGCGACATTGGAAGTTTACCCAATCTTCAAGTTTTGCATCTCATGAACAACAACTTGGAAGGTATGAGTTCTAATTATAAACCCTTGATAGGTTAATTGCAAATTTATTTTCATAATGTTTATAGGTCATTAATTTGTAACACAAATTATCCGGATATATAATAAACAAATAATATCCCACTGGATTACTTTCCAAAACACGGATAGCATTAAACATGTAATTCAAGTAGTGTCAATTGGCTGTGGATTATAGATAGTTTAATATGAAAGTGAATATCAATGAAACAATATGAAATAAAAATATCCATTTTTTTTTAAAAAAATATTTCATTAACTCATCCACGCCATAAAAATATCGACTTCCCAAGTCAGAGTGATTTTAGAAAATAAATAGTATTTTTACATATTTATTATTATTTTTAACCAATTTTATAGAATCATATTAAATGACTCCATCGTCTAAGTGTTTTAATGGAAGTGTAATTTAAAAGCCAAGGTAGACTTCGTTTTTTTTTTTTGGCTCATTATGTTTAACCTTTGTACTTTTGTTTATTAATGTGAAATTAGTTTTTCATAAAGAGAAAGGTAGACTAACATCATCAATTGGCAGTATTATATTGCACGTTGTTTGAATATTTATATCTAGGAGAAAACTCCTTAACAGGTATATTCTCAATCTACTCAGCCACCAATTTTATTATTTAACAAAATTTCATTTATCATATATAATATATGTGGGTACGGGAGAAAGCAAAGCTTGTTCTACATTATCTCCAAAATTTCAAATTGAAAATACTTTAATTCCTTAAATAAAAATAAAAAATTCTTTTACGGTTATGTCTTGTAGCAGAATCAGTGTTCTATAGTAAATTAGAACAGGACTCTTGCAAAATGCATGCATGATTAAAAAAGGCATATATGGCTTATCATTAAGAGAACTTTTACTAAAATATAGGCTTAATAAGCAAGGCATATGGGTTATTAATAGTATAATATTAATTATCGTGTTGCTGACATTAAATTTTAAATTAAACAGGAGAAATTCCATCATCTCTCTTCAGCAATTCTTCTTTAAGAATATTACGTTTAGGACAAAACGGTTTAAATGGGAGTATACCAACTATTGGGAATCAGACAATGCTGGAAACTTTAGTTCTAAATAACAACTCCTTTTCAGGTATGGTCAATCTACTCATCCATCAATTTGATGCTTCAACAAAATTCCATTTATTATTTGCAAAGTTTATATTCTATATCATCTCTAAAATTCATAAACTGTTTTTTTTCCCAGGTGAAATTCCTCAATCTATCTACAACATACCTTCTTTGAGAATAGTTGACTTTACCTATAACTATTTAAAGGGTAATTTGCCAGAAGATATGTGCTATAGACTCCCTTTACTTGAAGTTTTTGGAGTTGGTCTTAATCAATTCGAGGGACGTATTCCAAAGTCAATAAGTAACTGCACAAATTTGCGAGCCTTATTTTTGTGTCAGAACTCATTTTCAGGTACGCGCAAAGAGTTGTGTGCGTGTGTGTTTATAATTTGGTCACATGTTTATATAGTAATTTCATTCAAACATTCTAATATGAAAAGAAATGATTGTGATCTTTAATTAAAACTTAATGATATCTTCCAACGCGCACATACATACTTGATAATTCCAATCCTTCTTTTGATAAATTACAAAACCAAGGACATGCTCTTGTTAGTCTATATATATATTACTACCCCCAGTTTTTAATATAAGATTTAGTTGATTATTTTGGAGAGATTAAATAAGTTATTAAATTACTTTAAAATATTTATATTTATCGCTTTTATCCAAACTAATTTGCCTCACTTATAAATTGATATACGATCTAATAATTTGCATAAGTATTTTAGAGATCATGTAATATATATTATAATTAAGTAATTTAATAATCTTATTAATCTTTTCAAATTAGTCAATTATTGGGTCTTACATTAAGAATAAAAAACCATATAACATTAAAATTTGAGACATGAATTGCAAAATATTTATTTTTAGTTTTATTAATATTTATTAAAAAGGATCATAAAAATTGTAATTACTTAGAAGGATCAAATTTAAAAGTATACATTTAAAGTATTAAATTTTTCCTAGTGTAACCTTGAACATTCTGTCCTACGTACATTTAAAATTAAAAAGAATAAAACTAAAACTAAAATTAAAAAAATGCCTATCATCCACATGACTATATCTTTTTTCAACTTTTATTCCTCACCGAGGTCCATATTCTGTCCTCTTTCCTATCATCAAGGTATCATTTAATTATTAATATCAATTTTTATCCATTTTTTTTACCAGCAATCAATATTTATCCATTTCTATCATCAATTTTTTTCTGATTTATATTGTCAATTTAAAATTTATAACGTCAAATTATGAACAAACTATTGTGGATCTCATGAAATTATGAGAAAAGAATCATGTTATTTATAATTTTTAGTTTGTAAATAAATAATATGAATAAATGGTATGATTTATTAGAGTTTAATATTATGTGTGCATTATAAGATTCACTCCTCAAAATCGTTTAAGAATAAACTAATCCGTACATCATATATCTTTTTTTTTTATAAATATCATGAATCCATATATATGATCTATATATAAATATAGGAGCAAATAATTAAAAGATTTATAAACATTACATGGATTTTTAATATTTATAACTCACATAAATTTCTTATAAAAAAATTAAACTAACTTCCTTTGAATTTTTTAATGGGTTAATTTTATTTTTATTTCCTAGATATATATAACATTTCTTTAAATGAAAATAATTACATCAAGTTCTTTATATTAATTATGTTACACATGACCATGTGTCCTATTTTTAATATATTAGCATTAATTATAAATTTACATGAAACAAAAAAAACACATGGATATATATGATTGGAGAACTTAACAATACTAAAATTATATAACTTTTATTTTTAATTAAAGTTTGTTATGATTTTAAAAGTAAAATTTTAATTGTGTCAAAATTGAACGGTGTTCGTGTAATGTTTTTTCAATAGATGTCTATGCAAGTAGTAAAAATTGAGGGAAATTTTGTTTAATTTAGTAAATTTAAAGTTTTAAAAATAGAATGTGGGAGAGATAATGTAAGAGGTTTAATTTGATTTGGGGTAATTTAGTATTTTTAAATGGGAAAAAATTTACCTCCCGTTGCCTTATATCCAGTACATCCAATTTCCAATCAACAAGTGCCATGTGGATTTATGAAACCCCTGACCATTTAACGGCGTTACTTCCCTTCATCTCCGTTCAGAGCCTCAATCATTTATCCAGCATGGCCCTATCTGCCGCTAAAGAGACGATTTTGGTGAGGTGGGTGATTCAGTTGCAGAGAACGCTACTGATGAGTTGAGCCCAAAGCCACAAATGGGGGCAGTACCAGTGGGCATATAAAGCACGATTTATTGGGTCTCTCACAATCTGTTGCGATATTTGCACCAACAAATTGATGTTCTTGATTGGTGGCGCAGTATGAAAGGAGTTGCTGTCCCAGCCAGCATCAACAATATTTGCAGAGCCATATTCTCACATAAAACCAGAGAAAGAGAGAGAGTAGCTTCCGCAGAAAGAGTTAAAACAGGCTTCAGTGATTTGCGACACTTCAAACGGAGATGGAGGGGAGTAACGCCATCAAATGATTAGGTGTTTAATAAATCCACATGGCACTTATTGATTAGAGGACTCGATGTAAGCTACTGGAGGTAAGTTTTCTCCTTTTAAATTTATATTTTGACTTTTAGTTCTTTTAAATAATTATAATTTTTATGATCATCATCGATAAATATCATTCTCTCTAGGTTCGTCGTTCTAATTTTTCCGATAAAGATATTACCCACATGTAAATTACTAGCTTGGACGTAACTAATTTCTTACATGGATGAAATTAGTTTCCTCTCTTTCCTATATTTAGGTGTGGACTTCCTAGCCTAGGAAAAAATTGAAATTAGTAAGATATCTGGATTCTTCTTAGAGGAGTGAATTCAAATTTTTGAAACATATATATTTCTTCCAATCCTTAATATAAGAACTTGTTTGACTTTTATTTTGATCCCAAGTATAAGAGCTTAATCCACTTTGTCTCTTATATTTATCTATTTTTTTTGAAAATAGTCCTTATAATGATAGTAATTATAGCCAATACATTTGATTAACAAGGATATTTTAAGAAAAACAACACATGTTCATTATAAACAACTAACTTAACTAATTTTTTTAATCTACTCAATTGGTCAACTAGTTTTTATATTAAGAACCGGAGATAATATGCTACAGGAACACCCACGTACAAAACATATCATGTCGTCTGTTTTGTCAATTTTCTACTGTATATAAATTTTATCATCCATCAGCTTTTGTTTTGTAAGGTACTTACCCAACAGCTTTTAATTTTGTTTCCAGGTCTTATACCCAAGGAGATGGGCAATCTTCATAAGCTTGAAGATTTGAGTTTAGTATATAATAATTTCAGTGGACCCATTCCTTCTCACATATTCAACATTACGGCATTGGCAAATGTCTACGTTCAAGATAATTTCCTTTCTAGCTTTCTCCCATCAAATTTAGGAATTGGCATTCCCAATCTGCAGAAACTAGGGTTGGGACAAAATCACTTTATTGGACAAATTCCAATCAGCATCTCAAATGCTTCTAAGCTCACTATTGTAGATCTGTCATGGAATAAGTTTTGTGGAGATATACCAACTGCGCTTGGGAATCTAACAAACATGATCGCATTATATTCTGATGAGAATGATTTGAGTGGGATGATTCCAAGTACAATTAACAGACTGCAAAGCCTTCAACATTTAAGTCTTAGCAACAACAAATTGCAAGGGTCCATCATAAATGAACTGTGCCAAATCAGAAGTTTGAGTGAATTGTATCTAGCCAACAACATGTTTTCGGGAATGATTCCAAAGTGCTTCACAAATACTTCTCTGCGGAGGTTGGATTTAAGCTCTAACAAATTGATTTCTCATATACCCTCTTCTATTTGGAGCCTTGAAGATATATTAGTCTTAGACTTATCCTCCAATGCATTGAGTGGAAGAATTTCTCCTGCAGTATCAAACTTGAAAGCAATTATACTCTTGAATTTGTCAAGAAATCAAATTTCTGGAAACATCCCAACAACTATGGGCTATTTGAGAACATTGCAAAATCTATCTTTGGCACATAACAAACTCCAAGGGTCTATTCCTGAATCATTTAGTGGCATGATAAGTATGGAATCCTTGGATCTCTCCCAAAATTATTTGTCTAGGGTGATTCCAAAGTCCTTAGAGTTACTTGTCCATATGGAGTACATTAATCTTTCATACAATTTATTATATGGAGAAATTCCAAATGGTGGGCCTTTTGCTAATTTTACATATGAATCTTTTATGATGAATGAAAATCTTTGTGGGAAGCCCCAGCTAAAAGTCCATCCATGCAAAAATGGAAACAAGCACATCTCAACTAAAATGATGCTTGTGATCAAATGCTCACCGCCTGTAGTTTTTGCAATCGTTTTGGTTGCCTCATGCCTAATGTTTCTTAAGTTTAAGAAGGTTCATGTTAGTCATGAGATGAACAATAGAGACTCCTTAAATTTGGACACACTAATTAAGATATCCTATTATGATCTTTTGCAAGCAACGAATAGGTTTGATGAGGGTAATTTTCTTGGCAAGGGAAGTTTTGGATCAGTCTACAAAGGAATTCTTTCAAATGGAAAGATAGTTGCTGCAAAAGTATTTAACTCAAACTTGCAAGAAGCATTGAGGAGTTTTGATATTGAATGTGCTGCTATATGCAATTTACGTCATCGAAACCTCATTAAGATCATCAGCAGTTGCTCCAATGGTGATTTTAAATCTCTCATAATGGAATTCATGCCAAATGGAAGTCTTGATAGATGGTTGTACTCCCATAATTATTGTTTAGATATAGAGCAAAGATTGGACATAATGATTGATGTGGCATTAGCCTTGGAGTATCTTCATCATGGTTCTCCTACACCAGTAGTCCATTGTGATATAAAGCCAAGCAATGTTTTATTGGATGAAAATATGGTGGCCCATTTGAGTGATTTTGGAATTGCCAAATTATTAATTGACAGTCACTCAGAAATTTATACGGAAACCTTGGCCACAATTGGTTATATGGCACCAGGTAATAATTTAGTAATCATATTAAGTTTTATTTAAATTTATGTTTCTTATATTCATTTATGCCTATACACACGTGCAGAAACAAATATGCCTATATACGGACATGCATATGCTAGAAGAAACTATAAGTTGTTCAACTATTGAATTTAGCATTCAAATGTATACGCAGAGTATGGATCAAAAGGAGCAATTTCAATCAAAGGAGATGTCTACAGCTTTGGTATTTTGCTCATAGAAATGCTTACAAGGAAGAAGCCAACAGATGAGATGTTTGCTCAAGATCTGAATCTGAAAGAATTTGTTAGCAAATCAACACCACATTCAATCATCAATATTGTGGATGTCAATTTGCTGCGCACAGGCAACCAAAAAATTGGTAATATATTGCTGCATATATCATCAGTTTTTGAATTAGCCTTAAATTGTTGCGCTGATGCACCTGAGGCAAGACCCAATATGTCAGAGGTTGTGGAGTCGCTGAGAAAAAGGAAGGCCATGTTAGTGTAAAATATTCAAGGAACCACTAGCCTGTTGAATAAATGTTAAATCAAATTTTATCTGCTACAGTCTTTCACCCCTTGGATTGTTCTATATTATCGGAACATGCATGAAGAGTGATGATGTCTCCTGTATTAATATATTAATGATTTGAAATTTGAGAATTCTGCACTCCACACCCGCGTTTTGGTTGTCTTCAAGTTAGTCCTTATGTGTTAGAAATATAATTGAATAACAGGAGAATTCATTCCCTTTTTTCTTCAAGATAACTATATCAAGTTTGAAATTTTTTTTTTTTTTTAAGTTCATCTCATATTTTTCATGGATTTGGATGTTAAGTCCTAAGAACATGAATGAAAGTGATATAAGTAGACTTGTATGAGAACGTTAAGCTATGGAAGATAGATGCTAAACTGAACTATGTGCTCTGTTTCCATGGCTAGCACGAACATCCGTTGATTTGGGTTATTATGGGCAATGATTAATTTGTTTTTTTTTTTTGGGGGGGGGGTGTTGAGTCTGGAAAAGAATGCGTTACAAATTAATAACTGAGGAAGATTTGCATTCAAATAATGGAGCATAACAGTTTTGAAGTTCCAGGAATCAGTAAAAGACAGAAACAGAGTAGGAAAAAAGGGTCAAAATCGATTTATGCTCTTGGATTGGCTTATTTAAGTATTTATAAACACATTGGACGTAAATTAAAACAAAACTTTTTTTATATATTTATCTCCTCCTATTTTTTACTGTTTATAAACTATTCCAAATAAGTATGGAAATCTAGTTTGTCACGCCTTAAAAAACCTTTAATCATGTAAAAATCGATTTCATCGGTATAGAAATCAATTTTGAATTGCTGGATTTGAAGGAAGAAGACACGCATACTCGTAATAAAATCGATTTGTGCAAACGTGAGAACGGAAAATTAACGGCCAAAGTGTTTTGAGTATTTATTTTTTATTTTTTATTTTTTTACAAAATTATTATTTTTCCCTCCCTTTTGTGGCTAGAAATTTTTCTTTTCCTTCCCTTCCCTTCCATCAAAATAATGAGTACTACTGCTATAAAAAGTATGCGTTAATAAATTTCTAAGACTTTTATTATTGCATGTTGTTGGGTATATTTGTTTGGAATGCATGGGTTTTGAAGAATAAATAAAACTATTCATTAATTAAAAAAATAGTATTATTATTAAACTTTTAAAAGGTTTAGAAAATTTTTCCTTAAAAAAAGTGAAAAAATTCTCTTAACATGACAAAGTACATATCCCTATGATTGTGCCTTCATTTTTTTTTGGTTATAATAAAATTTAGATAAATTAGATTCCATCGACTTATCACAATTTAGACGGGTTCCAGTTCATCAGGGTGGCTTAAAAATTTTGGGATCCAAGATCTGTAATGGATATACAATGCTCAGCGGAGTTCCCTTGGATGACAGCCCTCATCCATTGTAGACCCAACAAAGCCCATCTTACATTAACCCAATGAGGCGAAATGGGCCAGTTAATGGGCTTTTGAGCCCAATGTTGCAAACAGTAATACTCTACTAGTCCTAAATATAAATTTTTTTTTTATAAAACGGAAGAGTATTAATTACCAAGATAGTACGCTCTGGGAATTACTTATCAGGATATTACATCCAAAATCGTTCAAAGCAGGTGGGATTTTAAAAACATACGGAACTCGTTCTCTCGAAGAACGAGTTTTGCACCTTCATTTTTTTAAAATAATGTTTTTTTTTATAAAAATGTTGGCAGGGATAGCCTGCCACCTGCTCCATTGACCTGTCCCCCTTCTACACCTCATCCCACTCTCCTCAAAACATTTTCCTCCCCCTGTCACTTTTTCTATCGTCCTCCCGTGTACACATGTGCACACATCCCAAATTATTATAATTATCGTGCTTAATCCTGATTATCCTGTAAAAAGAGAGAAAAAAACCGCTATTAAAATTTCAAAAGGTTAATTTTAAGAACCTAAAAAATATGGTTTACGAAAAGCAGATAGGGTTTGGGAGTCGATTGAGTGTGGGAAGATATTAGACACCCTACAATACCCGTTCAAGAGAACACTTACCCCAAGTCAACTATTTAAAATTAATATGGCCTTTTTAATTATATTTTAATTACTCTAAAGAAAAAGATAGAAACAAAGAAAAAAATTTTATTTACAAAAAAAAATTATTTATAAAGTTAGACTTGACCCAAGATAAAAACCTAGGACCTATGTATCATTTAAAGGGATCAAAGTCCACATAGTTCGGGGGTAGGAATGCGTGTCATTTGACTGATATCTTTTAAAAAATATTTATTTGATTATTTAAAAAGGATTTTTTGTGCGTTGTTGTTTTTTAATTTATGAAAACAATTTTTATATTTTTATTTAAAAATATTTATTTTTTTATGACAAATTTTGGATTACACTTTCTGTGGAGATTCCCATAATCTCACACGGAAAAATAATCATTCAAACTTGCGAAGTTTCTAAAAACCTCACACGACTCTATAAAATATTTTATTAATGTGAAATTAGTTTTTCATAAAGAGAAAGGTAGCCTAACATCATCAATTGGCAATATTATATTGCACGTTGTTTGAATATTTATATCTGGAAGAAAACTCCTTAGCAGGTATATTCTCAATCTACTCAGCCACCAATTTTATTATTTAACAAAATTTCATTTATCATAGATAATATATGTGGGTACGGGCGAAAGCAAAGCTTTTTCTATATTATCTCCAAAATTTCTAATTGAAAATACTTTAATTCCTTAAATAAAAATAAAAATTCTTTTACGGTTATATCTTGTAGCAGAATCAGTGTTCTATAGTCAATACTCAATAGTAATAAATTACATTAAATTTTAAATTAAACAGGAGAAATTCCATCATCTCTCTTCAGCAATTCTTCTTTAAGAATATTGCATTTAAGACAAAACGGTTTAAATGGGAGTATACCAACTCTTGGGAACCAGACAATGCTGCAAACTTTAAATCTATATAACAACTCCTTTTCAGGTATGGTCAATCTACTCATCCATCAATTTGATGCTTCAACAAATTTCCATTTATTATTTGCAAAACTTATATTCTACTCCTCTTGTCATATTTATAAGACAAAAAGAGAAAACATTTTTTTATCCTATTTACAGGGCACCGAGAGAAATTTTTTATATGGATGTACAATTTTATCTCTCATTTATTATTGTATTAACTTTATTTACATGGGGTATAATATATTTTAAATAGGAATAAAATTGGAAAGTTATTAAATTTTAAATGAAAGTTAACGAAATTTAAAGTTTTTCTTGATCTGTGTGAAACATGTTGAAAATGCCTTATAAATAGGATATAAGGAGTATATCATCTCTAAAATTCATAAATTGTGTAGTCAAAAAAAATTCATAAATTGTTTTTTTCTCGGGTGAAATTCCTCAATCTATCTACAACACACCTTCTTTGAGATGGGTTGACTTTGCCTATAAAGGGTAATTTGCCAGAAGAGATGTGCTATAAACTCCCTTTACTTGAAGTTTTTTCGGTTGCTCTTAATCAATTTGAGGGAAGTATTCCAAAATCAATAAGTAACTGTACATATTTGCGAGGCTTTTTTTTGGGTTCGAACTCATTTTCAGGTGCGCGCAAGGGGTTGTGTGCGTGTGTGTTTATAATTTTGTCGCATGTTTATATAGTAATTTCATCCAAACATTCTAATATGAAAAGAAATGATTGTGATCTTTAATTAAAACTTAACGATATCTTCCAACACGCACATACATACTTGATAATTCCAATCCCTCTTTTGATAAATTACAAAACCAAGGACATGCTCTTGTTAGTCTATATATAGTATTAGTTCCAGTCCTTAATATAAGATTTAGTTAACTATTTTGAAGAGATTAAATAAGTTATTAAATTATTTCAAAATATTTATATTTATTGCTTTTATTCAAACTAATTTGCCTCACTTATAAATTGAACTATGAATAATGATTCGCATAAGTATTTTAGAAATTATGTAATATATGCTATAATTAAGTAATTTAATAATCTTATTAATCTTTTCAAATTAGTCAATTGTGTCTTATATTAAGGATCAGAAAGCATATAACATTAAAATTTGAGACATAATTTGCCAAAATATTTATTTGTAGTTTTATTAATATTTATTAAAAAGGATCATAAAAATTGCAATTATTTAGAAGGATCAAATTTAAAAGTATACATTTAAGAAAAAACAACACATGTTTATTATAAATAATTAACTTAACTAATTTTCTTAATCTACTTAATTAGTTACTAGCTCTTATATTGAGAACTAGAGGTAATATGCTACAGGAACACCCACGTACAAAACATATCATGTTACCTGTTTTGTCAATTTTCTACTTTACATAAATTTTACCATCCATCAACTTTTGTTTTCTAAGGTAGTTACCCAACAGCTTTTAATTTTGTTTCCAGGCCTTGTACCCAAGGAGATAGGCAATCTTGATAAGCTTGAAGATATGATTTTAGCATCTAATAATTTCAGTGGATCCATTCCTTCTCATATATTCAACATTTCGGTGTTGACATATGTCTCCTTTGCAAATAATTCCCTCTCTAGTTTTCTCCCATCAAATATAGGAACTGGCCTTCCCAACCTAAAGAAATTGATTTTGAGACAAAATCAATTTGTTCGACAAATTCCAACCAGCATATCAAATGCTTCTAAGCTCACTATTGTAGATCTATCATGGAATAAGTTTTGTGGATATATACCCACTGCACTTGGGAATCTAAAAAGCATGATCGCATTATATTCTGAGGAAAATGATTTGAATGGGATGATTCCAAGTACAATTAACAGACTGCAAAGCCTTCAACATTTAAGTCTTGGCAACAACAGATTGCAAGGGTCCATCATAAATGAATTGTGCCAAATCAGAAGTTTGAGTGAATTGTATCTAGCCAACAACATGATTTCAGGAACAATTCCAAAGTGCTTCACAAATACTTCTTTGCGGAGATTAGATTTAAGCTCTAACTATTTGATTTTTCATATACCTTCTTCTCTTTGGAGTCATGAAGATATTTTATTCTTGGACTTATCCTCTGATGCATTGAGTGGAAGAATTTCTCCCAAGGTATCAAACTTGAAAGCAATTATACTTTTCAATCTATCAAGAAATCAAATTTCAGGAAACATCCCAACAGCTATGGGCAATTTGAAAACATTGCAAAATCTATCTTTGGCTCATAACAAACTCCAAGGGTCTATTCTTGAATCATTTAGTGGCATGATAAATATGGAATCCTTGGATCTCTCCCAAAATTATTTGTCTGGGGTGATTCAAAAGTCTTTAGAGTTACTTGTCCAAATGGAATACATTAATCTTTCATGCAATTTATTGCATGGAGAAATTCCAAATGGTGGGCCTTTTCCTAATTTTACATATGAATCTTTTATGATGAATGAAGATCTTTGTGGGAAGCTCCAGCTAAACATCCATCCATGCAAAAAAGGAGACAAGCACATCTCAACTAAAATAATGCTTGTGATCAAATGCTTATTGCCTTTAGCTTTTGCAATCATTTTGGTTGCCTTATGCCTAATGTTTCTTAAGTTTAAGAAGGGTCATGTTAGTCATGAGATGAATAATAGAGACTCCTTAAATTTAGACATAGTGGCTAAGATATTCTATTATGATCTTTTGCAAGCAACAAATAGGTTTGATGAGAGTAATTTTCTTGGCAAGGGAAGTTTTGGATCAGTCTACAAAGGAATTCTTTCAAATGGAAAGATAGTTGTTGCAAAAGTATTCAACTCAAACTTGCAAGAAGCATTAAGGAGTTTTGACATTGAATGTGCTGCCATGTGCAATTTATGTCATTGAAATCTCGTTAAGATCATTAGCAGTTGCTCAAATGGTGATTTTAAATCTCTCATAATGGAATTCATGCCAAATGGAAGTCTTGAGAGATAGTTATATTCCCATAACTACTGTTTAGATATAGTGCAAAGATTGGACATAATGATTGATGTGGCATCAGCATTGGAGTATCTTCATTATGGTTCTCCTATCCCAGTGGTCCATTTTGATGTGAAGCATAGCAATATTTTAATGGATGAAGATATAGTGGCCCATTTAAGTGACTTTGGAATTGCCAAATTATTAATTGACTGTCAATCATAAATTTATACAGAAATTTTGACTACAATTGGTTATATGGCACCGGGTAATAATTCAGCACTCATATTAAGTTTTATTTAATTTATGTTTCTTATATTCATTTATGCCTATACACACGTGCACAAACAAATATGCTTATAGAAGTACATGCATATGCTAAAAGAAACTATAAATTATTCAATTAGTTAATTTAGCGTTCAAATTTATAGGTAGAGTATCGATCAAAAGGAACAGTTTCAATGAAAAGAGACGTGTACAGTTTTGGTATTTTGCTCATGGAAATGCTTACAAGGAAGCAGCCAACAGATGAGATGTTTACTCAAGAGCTGAATCTGAAAGAATTTGTTAGCTAATCAACACCACATTCAATCAGCAATATCGTAGATGTCAATTTGCTGCACACAAGCAACCAAAAAATTGGTAATATATTGCTGCATATATCATCAATTTTTGAGTTAGCCTTAAATTGTTGCGATGCTGCGCCTGAGGCAAGACCTAATATGTCAGAGATTGTGGTGTCACTGGGAAAAAGCAAGGCCATATTAATGCAAAATATTCAAGGAACCACTAGCTTGTTGCATAAATGTTAAATCAAAATTTATCTGCTACAATCTTTCACCCTTTGGATTATATTGTTCTATTGTGGGAACATATATGGAGAGTGATGCCATCTCCTGTATTAATATATTGATGATTTGAAATTTGAGAATTTTGAACTCCACATCTGTGTTTTGGCTGTCTCAAGTTAGTCTTTACGTGCTAGAAATGTACATTGAATAACAATAGAATTCATTTCATTTTTTCTTCAAGATAACTATATAAAGTTTGGAAATTATTGTCTTTTTTTGGGATTATCCAACGTCCTGAAATAGTCGAATTAAGAATACGAATGATAGTGACCTGAATAGACTTGTATGAGAATTTTAAGCTATGGAAGATAGATGTTAAAGTGAACTCTGTGCTCTGTTTCTATGGCTATCATGAACATCGATTGATTTGGGTTGTTCTGGGCAATGATTAACTGGGAACTTTGAGTCTGGAAAATAATAAATTAGAGATTAATAACTGAGGAAGATTTGCATTCAAATAATGGAGCATAACAGTTTTGAATTTCTAGGAATCAGTGAAAGACGAAAAACAGAGTAGGAAAGAAAGGGCCAAAATCGATTTCATGTAAGAAATCGATTTTTTCATTGGCATAGAAATCAATTTTGAATTGCTGGATTTGAAGGAAGAAGGCACAATTGTAATGAAATCGATTTGTGCAGACGTGGGAAAAGAAAATTAACGGCAAAATAGAGTTAAGAGCAAGGAACAAAAAACCAGACCGGATACTAAATCGGTTGAGATAGTTGATTTAAGGGGTAGTGGGTCAGATTGGAGTCAACTCAAGATCAAACTAGTCATATTAAAATAATATAATTTAATTGAAAATGACAAAATATAAAAATACTAATAATCACTAATAAAAAATATAAAAAAAATACAATAACAATTTGATTGTAATAATAATAAAGTAGAACAATATTGAAAATTTTGATCTTTATGATTTCTCAATCACTAAAATTAATAGTCATTGATACCAAACTCATGATTAAAATTCATTTAAATATATAATAACTGAGATATTAGGAGCTGAATGAGAAAAAATAGGATAAATATCAATATACTTATTTAAACTGGTTCACATTGGTTTTTATTGGTTTTCACCGGTTCACACCGGTTTGACCGATTCAATTCTCTTCGAACCAGTCATCGGTTTAACCTATGAACAGAACCAGACTACTGACCGGTTCGCCAGTTTACCAGCTGGTCTTGTTTTTTTTTTTTTTTTTACATTGGTTAAGAGAGAAAGGGAAAATGAAACAAGGGTGTTTTGGGTATCTTGTATCTTATTTTTTATTTTTTAAAAAAGTTAGTATTTATCTTTTTTCCCCCTTTTTGTGTACGAGACTCTAATGCTCCGGGACGGAATGTCAGGAGAAGAATGTCTTTACTAACCTCTTTCTCCACTTCCTCTCCACTTAATGTTTTAATCATTGGATCAAACTTCAATGGTTAAGATTTATTTTATAAGAATATTATTAAAATGTTAAATATTAAATAATAAAAAATATATAAATAAATTTATACTGTTAAGTGTTAAAATTTGATATAAGTAGTTTAATATGATACATTTTTATTATATTTAATATTATAATAATATTTTTACTCAATTTTAAATCTCAACTATTGAAAGTTAATCCAATAATGAAGAAATTAAGTGGAGAGGAAATAGAGAAAAAAGTTAGTGGAGACGTTCTTCTTCATGGAATGTCTCCATTATGTACTCTCTCCACTTACTCTTCATTTAATTAAAATACAGCATATAGGGTAAAAAGCAAAATCTGGTCATTTTTTTCCTCGAATCAAAGGATGTGTTTGAATGAAACCAAACCATGGTTTGGAGAATAGATTCCTAAGAGAATAGATTTTGTGAAGAATAGATTATGTAAAAAAGTGATTATGATAAAGTAAGAATATTTGAATAATTGTTATCAGAAACACTTTTTGTATGTGTAAATTACTAAAAAAGGCATAAGTTAATATGATAATTACATAAAAGATAGATTTTATAATATATTTTAATTTGAAAAAATAAAATTGCTAATAATATATTTTTTACCAACATAATTAATAATATATAAGATAATGTAATTTATAAATAATTAATATGTGTATATATATTTATAAAATATAAGATTAAATATGTTTATAAAAAAATAATTGATGGGTGTTAAAGTCATATTATTATTGAGATCTAATCTGACAGGTACAATCATACTTTCTAATTTGAGTCAGAAGTAGAATGGATTCACTTTTTCTGAAGCTATGATTTTGAATACAAAATCATGGGTTTGACTCAAAACCATGATTTGTTAATTTCCTCGTGTTTGGCAAGTTTGATTTGGGTTCCAAAACTATGATTTCATGAGCTTGCCAAATTAAACAGGCCCTAAATGTCGTCGCTTGCAAATTCAGCTGCCCGTTTTCCTCCATCAGAAAGCGGTATGCGAGCAGAAATCATTGGAGAAAAAGAGGTGTTCGTTGGTTTGTATGAACCCCTTTTAAGTTTTTGGCTTGTGGCTTCTTAAAATCGTCTAACCGGAAAAATAATAATTAAAAAAAGGAACCATTTCGTTTCCATTCTTTCGATACAGACCGTGGTAGTTCACACTTTCTATCATAGATCAAGGAAAAAGTGATAAAAGCCCCAGAGCCATTCGATGAACTATGATAATATTATCTTCTGTCTTTAATATAAGAACTAATTGACTAATTTGAGTATATTAAAAAAATTAGTTAAGTTAGTTGTTTATAATAAATAAGTGTTGTCTTTTTTAAAATATCCTTACTCATCAAGTATATTGGCTAGAACTACTATTATTACGAGGACTACATTGAGAAAAAAAAGATAAATATGAGAGACAAAGCATATTGGGATCTTATATTTAGAATCAAAATAAAAGTTAGACGAGCTCTTATACTAAAGACCGAGTAATAAACATATAATTAGAGGCCATCTATTCGGATAAAAAAAATCGAGAAACATGTCCCAAAAGTGTATCAGATCACATAATTATATCCACATACACGATAACGATAAGTTACTTCATTTAAAGGTCCATACGTATTTTTAACGCTTCAACTGATCATAATTTCAAAATATTTCTAACATAACTTAACAAAATAAACTATTTAAGTCTTAGTCATGGCAAATAAAAATACAACATAACATGTGCTTAAAGAGCACGAAAGCTTTCATGGCTCACTTCATCAGTGCCTTCTCTTGATTCCTACTAAATCCTTCACCTAAAAGTGTTAATATAAGGGATGAAATCAAACGTTTCAGTAACTACTGAAATTCTAACCTATATAAGTAAACCATATATGATGAACAAAAATCCGTTTATGTGTGTATGTATGAAAATCACAAATTTGATACATTCAACTCAATTTCATTTTTGACTCAACAATATCCCTACATCATTTTTCCAATATATCCAAAAAAATAATGCAATATGCAGCCTCCCCCATATCATCGTCCATCCTTATACTACTGACTAGAGCCATAAGCTAACACATAGTCCAAAAGGAACTAATCCATTTTACTAAATTATTCCAAGCTCACCGATACTGGAAATATATCCGGTCAAAGATATAGAGCTCAAGTTCGGACTATGGCTCCCCTCCTTTGCAAATAAAGAAGTGTCACATGTTCTACAGCTCTAATGAATTCCCAGCCAAAGAAAACATGGAAGAACGGGCCTTGACAAGTGCCATCCACTATGCACCAAGTGAAGGCATACCATGTGGTAATTTATATCCATACAAATCTTCTCCTATTCTTAACCCAACGATGCATATGTCATATGCAATTAATGTTACATCATAAATATGTACTCAAGTATATTATTAAAAATAAGATGGTAATAAAATTTCTGTATCATTCAATAGCAACTCATGATCATTCCATAGATATCAATATATTTAAATATTGATCATAATCAATAGTAATAAGTCCTAACAAAATCAAACAACATATCAAATCATTTATTTGAAAAATCATAATATTATGTTTCAGCAATATAAAAATTAAGAAATCTACAATATAATCATACACAATTCATATGTACATGAACTCTTTAGCTTATAAATATTCACACAAAAATTACTTCAAAATTCTCAAGAGTCTACAAAATTGGGCATAAAAATTTATTAATGTAAAACTCAAAACTATTCTTAAAACTGCTCTAAAATTCTAAAACTACTCTCTAAACCAAAATTACATAAATATATTAACTCTCACAAATCTGGCTATTTATAATAGATATAATATTAATTTGAAAATATAATTTACATATAAAACTATTTCAATTTAATAACAAATAACTATATTTTCATTACCCTAAATTTAAATATTTCACATTAAAATCTCATTTTTTATTATAGTCTCATTTAAAATATTTTCTCGGACCAAACAACTCCTTTGAAGTATAAATAAATTTTTCAAAAATATATCTTTAACTTATTTAACATTCAAACTGATTAAAATCTCAATAATATATCAAATAACTCAAATAAATTATTTAAATTAAATTAGATTGGTAAAATCATACTATTTGTCTGAATAACAAATTTTTTTAAACTAAAATCTTAATCTAAAATTCTCAAGACAATCATTAAACAAATATAAACTTATTACAATTTCCTAATAATGTATGTTTAAATTTTTACAGTCATATATTGTCAAAACTTTATATTTACTCCATACCGAGTTGGTAAAATTTTCTCTAAACATTATAATAAAACTAATAAGATAAAGCTCTAAATATATAGAAAATACTCATAAAAAATATGATAAAAAGAAATATATTTGTTTATCTAAATGATCTCCAAAACTTGTCCCAACCTTTTGCAGCTCCTCTCACTCTCTCCTCTTCTCCCGCTCTCTCTTTCTCTTCCGTCTTGCACAAAGTGAAGGAAAGACAAAGACCGCAAGTATTTAATATCATGACATTTAATTTTCTTTTTTGATTTTCTTCTGCCTACACCCATCCTATTTCTTCTTCAACTGCCCCCTATATTCTTTTTTTTTCTCCCAACCTCCTCTCTTTTTTCTTCTTCAATTAATACTACTGCCAATTTTTTCACCTTGATTTACTACTCTTCCCCAACATTTTTCCTTGGTCCGTCCCTTCCTTTCTTTTTCTTCTCTTCATTTAATACTCCTTTCCCTTTTTTAATCTTATACCACCGTTACTTCTATTTTCTTCATTCTTATTTACTACCCTCTCCCAAAATTCTACTTTCAAAGTCAAATGCCACAACTTTCCACCAAATTCGATGGAAAATTGTTTTATTTTGGTAAAAATAATAATAAAATATTATTATATACATTTTAATTACAAATTTTTTTTTTTTAAAAAAATGGTATGTTACATACATTTTCCGCGTCGGGTTCCAGTGGCTATAAATTTTTCTTTTCCTTTCCTTTTGGTTTCCTTCTCTCCTGTTATCTCCCTTTCCATCAACGCATGGGGCAAAGGGTCTCTCCATTTCCTATAGGGTCCATTTCGCTCCACTTCCCTCAAGCGACGTCATTCTCTTAAGGTCTGCACTTGGGGGAAAAACACCGTCCTTTTCTCTCACTATAAACACGCAGCTTTCGCTCTCTCACACACACAAGCAGTCAGCCATTGAAGTGCAAATAGAAACTTTTCCCAAACAACTCAAAAGAAAAAGAAAAACAGCCCGGTTTTCACTGCAAGCTGAGATAAGAAGTAAGAGGAATTTCCCCAGATCCCCTCCATCGGGGTCTATATGTAGTACGGACGGTCGGGTGATTTTAATGTTTAATCCCACAAAGAGAAGAAGAGAAGGTAGACTGTGGTTTAGATTGGACATCAAGTATATTGCCTCATTGAAGATTTGGGGTCTAAAGATTGTTATTAAGATTTTAAAAGGTTCAGAAAAATTTCTCTTTAAAAAAAAAAAAAAAAGAGGAAAATCCCCTTAACGTGAAAAAGCATATATCCCTCCGGTGAAATCTTGGGTAAACCCGTTAATTGCCTTCAATTTTTTTTTGTACAAAAAAAAATTAAGTAAGTTGGATCTCGAAAATTCATTAGAATTAGAATATATCTTCAAGTTTAGAAAGCACTTATGTTGTCCACCCTCATCCATTGCGGATCCTAACAAAAGCCTATCTTACATCAACGCAATTGATGAAATGGGCCAATACCAACACCATTATATGTAGTTACCTAAATGGCCTTGGGCTTTGGTCTATACATGTCATTATTAAAGTGTCCAATAGTCCACGGTTGCAAATTAACTATGCATTTATACTTTAAACAGCAGATATTAACTTTTTATTTACACTAACAGAAGTTAGGTCTAATTAAAAAAAAACTAATTTCTCATAAAATAACGAATCAAAGTTTAAATTCTTACTGGAAGAGGTATCTATATTTAGTATTTGATAGTACCTCGAATAGAATTACTTCTGATAAAAAAAATCTATACTTAAAAAAAAACTGTTGTTTGGAAAAAAAAAAAGCCAAGAAGGGACTGGGGCTCTCAGTATTATGATCACCACGTGTCACTTCCCCATTCGGTTTTCATTGCCTTGAAGGGCGGATGAAGAATACCGTGTGGAGATTCTATCATCGAGAACTCTCAAAAGCGTTTTGCACGAAAATTATCTTGGGAAGCTCGAGAAAATGTGAGTGAGTTGTGTTTAGCGAATCGGAAATTAGTATTCATTGTTTCATCTGAGAAAGCTTAAGAAAATGCCTAGAAACGGCGAGGAAGAGAGCGTTCCCGGAACTCCGTCGAGCACCCGGGTCAGAGCCAGACCGGATCCTTTCTTGGTAGCGTGTAGGTGCTTCAGTTTATTGACCTGTTTGGCTGCCATCCTTTGCATCGCCGTCAATATCCTCTCTGCTGTGCACTCCTTCAAGAACGGATCTGATGTGCGTTACCTTTTCTTCCCCTTATACGTGTTAGATTCAATTTGGCCTCATCTTGTTTTCGCTGTTCGTTTCTCATTGTTGTGAGTGGGTTTTAGGTTTTCGATGGCATATTCCGGTGTTACGCTGTGTTGATAGCTTTTGTTGTGGTTGTGGCCGAAACGGAATGGAGTTTCATAACCAAGTTCTGGCAGGTTCCTTTTTGGACGTTACAGTTTAATTCATCAACTTCCTTAGTAATTTGGTGATCAGGTGTTAATGATCATTATAACAGTGCGGATTTTATTTGAATTTCTCCTTGCTGGTGTTACCTTAATGTTGTTTCTAAAATTTTGCTGTATCTTACAGGTTTTGGGATACTGGGCTGGCAGGGGTATGCTGCAGATTTTGTATGTCTCTCTTTTACTGAGATTTTCGGTTATCTTTTCCAATAGGTTCTTCTAATGAGCTTATTTTCATTTGCCTTGACCACTGACACTTTAAACATCAAGATATAAATTGTAAACTTATACAAGCATGAGTCGGTGAATTCTATCTGGGGCAACGGCAGAGTTCTCGTATTTATTGGGTTTGGCCACTTATAGATGCGTACATTAATGAGAGATATTATTAATTATTAATATATTGTTTGAATTCTGCCAGGCCCATCTAGTGATATAAGGAAGGTTGTTATTGCATAATTTGCATTGTTTGAATTCTTGAAAATGTTGAGACTGAACACTGAATAAGAGGTAATTATGTTTTTATTTTGCTTTTCCCCTGGTAGAGGAATGAGACTTAGCCTAAAAATCAGACAAAACAGTACACTAGAACAAAACAAAACAAAAAACCACAGAACAATCAGCCACCCATATCTCCTTGAATTCCCCATCTATCAACAAAACATAAAAGCTAATTTGTCCCACAGTATCCCTCCATACATGCGTGCCAATGCTTAGCTCTAAATTCATATTGGTTATGTTATCTGCCACCTTATTCTCCTCCCTCAACACGCGAGTGAGTTTCAGAATCCCTCCAACTGGATCATCTGCAACAAAGATCCAACAATGGCACCCATCTCCTCTTCCTCCATTTTCAACCTCTACCTTCAGTATTCCAACACTGCTCCGAACCTACCAAAACCTTCCCACAACTCCGCCTGATATGCAGAACAATAGCCCAGATTTCTTGCGAACCCGTACCCTCCAGATTTTTTCTGATGGGCTTTCTGATTCTACTTTTCTCTTTCTCAGTGGGTACAAACTCAGGGATGCTCCACGTCCCAATCTTTCGCTCCACCTCCTTGACTCCTACCTTCCTGTTATCTTCTTCCACACCTCCAACTCCTTCATTCATCACATTGGCACTTGCCGCTTTCTGACTCCATCGTTCATGTCTGGCTATATGAGCGACCTTCCTCCAAAAATCTCAGAGCTTCCACATTCTGCCTCTTAATCATACCCGATCCACCGGCATCGTCATCAGATTTGACCTTCGTTTACTCCGTTGGAGGAGATCTGCCTCCTCTGCCGTGGGCCTCAGATTTCCGAGGGCAGGAAAGTTCATTAGCGAGAGAATTTGAGCAAATCCTCAACTACTAAACATTGATAACTTTGATCAAATGTCCAATCGGTTTTGCAGGGCCCATTTTAAAAGTTCTGTGCGCCTCAGATGAGAAATAATTCACAACTTCTTTGTCTTTTAGTCTATTTTCATCTCTTTAGATGCGCTCGCTTTTCTCCTGAATAGGAGTTAAATAAGTTAATATCATGACGCACATTCCTTGTTTGGTTCCTGAAGCATCGTTTTCTTTCTGCAGTGTTGCAGTAATGACAAGGGCTTTCCCTGACTATCTTGGGAAGAGAAGGGATCTTGTTCTTCTTCAGAATATATCATGCTATTTGCTTCTTGCTTGTGGTGTAGTTTACATTGTCTCGGTAAGATTTTGCAGAGAGCAAGCTATTAGATGAAGAGTGTGTGCATGGGGTTTGATGCTTTGTATGGCCTATTTTTTGTTGTACCTTTCAATTAAAATGGTTACTATTGTGTTCTCTCTCTCACACACACACCCCCACTTCAATACAAAACACTTAAATATTCCTTTTGGCAAGGCCAAAACTAGTCCATGTTATCTTGTTAACAGACTTTCTTACCTTGCTTATTTTGTAATACCAATTCAAGGGAATACTATGCATTGGTTTTCTGAAGCGTACCCGCCAGCAGCAGGAAATCACAAGAGAGCAGGCAATCAAGGATCTAGAGGTAGGCTGTTAACCTGGTGTGTTATAACATATTTATGGGCTGATTTCTGTTTACATGACTGTATCTCTAATTGTATGTTATTCCTATACATATAAGATCCTAATAAACATCTAACACTAACCAGAAATTAGTGATGCTAATTAACTAGAGACAAGAAAACTCTTGAATTTTCTTGTCACGTTGCATTCAAGCCTAAACGGAAATTTGATGTATTTGATCACTCTGCACTGACTCTTGGAATTTTCATAATACTAGAATGCGTACATTGTTGGTTACATAATCATGCTGCATCTGAAAAACGCAAAACCGTAGAGATGGCGGACTTGCATTTTTAGCCTGTTAAATTATTCTAATCAGCCGTTGCAAGAATCTCTTCCCTTGTTTGTCGATTGTTGTTCCTTTCAAGTCATCATCGATGATGGAAAATAAGCATAAAGATCAATGGCATAGACTAGTTTCTAGTCTTAATTGCCCTGATAGAATATGGGCGTTATATCTGCTCTCGTTTTAGTGTCCATTTTATAAAAACGTTGCTCTTATTATAAATACTACGTGCTTCTTTTGTCACTTACCAGGAGTTGCGACGGCGTAAGGAGGAGCTTGAACAACTGCTTCTCCCAGAAGAGGTTTGAAACTTTTCAAATGAATTGTGACTAACTGATTACTTAGCGTAAAGGTATATCCGCTGGAAAAGACCTGAATTTTGGTTGCTGATTTGCTGTTCTGTACAAAGTTGTTTTTTATTCTTTGGAGTAATTGAAGTTTGTTCTGTAAGTTTGGCGATTTGAACTACATCCAACAGGCAGAGGCATGGATCTTGATTTCTGTTTTTGCTGTTTCATAGGATGTGGCTGCCTAATCTATGTAAAAAGTGAATTTTCTGTACGTCGGGCACATGACAGTAAATATTAAAGTAATATACAAACACAATTCTGTTTTGACTGTCCTGTTCTGATTTTTGGATTAAACATAACTCTGATGCTGGGCAGACCTTTTGGTTTCAAATACAGTTATTTCCTCCATCTAAAGTTGAAACTTCATTTATGAGTAGCAGATCCAACCCGCTACCTCTCAGCTATAAGAGAGCTTTTCACTATTTGAGGTTATCGCCAAAGATACAAAACCTGATGTGGTATGAGAATGATTACAAGAAAAAGGACCTGAAAAAACTGTAATTATGATAACTTTAAGGAGGGATAATATATCCCCCCCCCCTTTTTTTGAATGAAAGGATAATGTATTCTTGTGCCGTGTGTTGCCTCTGCTAAGTAGTAAGTAGTCGTACGTAGGTTGATGGCCAAAAAAAGGGGGGGAGTCTTACGTGCCATTCACTATTAAATTTTGCAGTTAATGTTATTTTAAAGATCTTCAACATATAGAATCCACGTGGTCATTTATAACTTTTGAATGATATATAAGTTATAGATTTTTTTTTCATTGTGTGTTGATTTGATAACGATAACTACTTAACTAGAATGAGTTGCATGCATTAGCATAAAAATTCAAGATGAATTATTATAAATAATGCCATTTGTCATCACTTTTTATTCTTTTTTCTGGGCCTCAGTTATCACCTTTATTTTGGGTCACCCATTTGTTGTTATTAGTTTTTTCCTAAACCCTGAAAGTGCTTTTAATTTCATTAAACGGATAAGAAAAAGAGCTACAGAGCAACGTCTTAACAAAGTGAAAAATAGAGAGAGGCCTAAAGTTAAATAAAAACAACAACAAAAAGAGCCAAGAAACAGGCCAAGCTGTGAGAACCATTAGCCAATGCCTTCTCTGTCTCGTCCGTCAGAAATATCATACACCTGAGCAGAGGAGGCACTTGATCCCGCAACGTCGCGTGAGAGCTGAGCCATGATAGAAGGTGTTGGTGTGAGAACCTACCCCGAAGGGCACATCTTTCTCAAAAAGACTGTTAAAAAATCAGCAGCAAAATTGCCTTCCCTATAAGTAAAGGAAAAGGAGAGGTGCGAACGCGATTCTGCTAGTTCCAGTGTTTCCTTAAGCAAATGGCATCCGTTCCAATCACAGGAAGTAAAGGACGTGGGTGATAAGCACTGTTCCAGATCTCTCTTACCAGTTTCAATGATGACATTGTGCAAGTCTAGCTCTTGGCAAATAAGGACAGCACGTTTGACTGCTAATAATTCTATTATGAAAGGACAACATGCCTTAACCAAATCACCAAATCCCCAACGGAAATTTCCACCATCATCTCTGCAAAAAATAATACCAATAGCTGCTTCATTATCAACACCTGTAAAAGATCCATCACATTTGGGTTTCAAGTATTGGCATGGAGGGTGGCGCCAGAATCTTTGTGGTCGTGGTGCCTCTGGTGCGAGGGGAACTTGTTCAGGGGAGATGGCCGTCCAGAATTCACTAATCCCCTTATGAGCCTTTAACAGTACCACTGAAGGGTCTGGAGTTTTAAAATTGAAAATCACCTCATTCCTTTCTTTCCAAATTAACCAGAGGAGCCACACAATCAGGGAGATATCAGCTTCACAAAGATTCCTGTCTAAACATGGTGCTTTGGTCTTTGCGAATCGAAAGTTGACATCCAAACCAAACACACCTTACCCATGGCCAACCATTTGTTGTTACTTTTATAACTATAATGTGTAATGAAAATGATGATAATACAACATGCACCTTTTTATAATATATACAATAAATTTTTAGTTTCTTGATTGAATTGTTTTCTTTTTTGAATTATTAAATCCTGAATCTTTATAATTTGGATCTCTCAATTAAAGTGATTGCAATTGAGTAATATTATCTGTTAGATTGTAATATAATAGTAACAATATTTTTTTTAAAAAAAAAATTTTGTAACTCACCTTCATTAACATTGGATCACAATCTAGTAATTGAGGGGGAAAAAAACTTAGGTGAAGTTGCTTATATCAATTATATCAAATTCTTCAATCATATGGTTATATGTCATTTTTGGTTTTATGTAGATTTATAATTAAATGCTATTAAATGATGATATTTAAAAAGGGCTACACATGACCATGTGTGATTTGGATTTTTTTTTTTTTTGGCTAGGCAGTATCCTCTTATTAAAGATAATCATGTTTGATATACTGTCAAATATTAAATGTGAGTATTTCTCTTGGTAGAGATTTGAATAATGGTTTATCATATTATGAAAGACTAGTCCCTTCTGTTAGACTTAACGCTCATCAATTTGATATGAGTATCATCCATTAATTAATATTCCTAAAAAATAGACAAATTAGATTCGTTTGTTTGAGCCGATCAGTCCGTATATTTTTGTTGGACCAAAAAGAGACGTAAGAAGCCCAAGAGCAAAGGCCCAAAGTTATTTTCAAATTTTCCATACGCCTCCTCGCTTCCCGCTTTCCAAACTTTGCATGAGCACTCCCTCAGTCTCTCTCTTCGAGATCCATCAATGCCTCTTTCGAAATGTAAGTTCCATTCAATATGTCTGTAAGAAAACCGTCACTTTATAGATTCTGATGCTATCTAATGCTATCTAATCATTCGCATTTTCAGATTAACGTCTTCTTGGTCAGTTTCCTCCTCCTCTTTGGTTGCTGAGAAACTGATTCTAGTTTTAAAGCTGTCACATCCCTCACTTGCTTGTCATTTATAGGTAAGGTCCTGATCTGAATTTGGCTAATCTTCTCCTTTGATTTTAAATCTTTTCGTTTTTAATGCGCTGAACGAAGAAAAAGAAGAGCTTCAACACAGTATGAGCATGGCCATCACGTGGGTCTGAGTCAAATCTGATGTGGACTCTTTCTATCTGAATCTTTTGGTACCTTTCTTGTATTCAAGGTTTAGCATGTCATTTAGCAATGAATGCTCAAAGCCTAAAATTAGATACTGGACCTAAATTTTGAATGATGGTTGTAAAGACTTACCCTATTATCCCATACTTAGGTTTCAGGTATATTACGCGTGCAATTGGATTTTGAATTTTTGATGATATTTCAAGCATCAAAATATTTTGGTTCTGTAAATATCAATTGACATATAGCATTAGGTGAGCTGCCTCTGGGAAATTTTAAGCAAATCCATACTGTGGGTAATTTTAGACGGCAGAAAAGGGTTGTCATTTCCCAGAGTGCTTATGGGTGATTCCCTTTATTATCTACAGGTTAGAAAGAAAGAATTTATCTTACTTCATACGTCTGTGATCTTTGATTGACAAAATTCTGGTATATTCTGCGATTAGAAGAAACAATGCCACCCATTTAGCTTCTTTAGATAAGATCAAATTCCCTAAGATAAATATTAGTGTATTCAAGGTACCAGCCACTTTTGATTTTTATGCCTCTCTTTGAAAGGGTTAAATTTATTAAACTGGCTATGGTCATACAAATAAACCCTCCTTAACTGGCTATGGTCATACAAATAAACCCTCCTTCCAATGATTTCCCCCCTCTTTTGGTGGCGGTGGGGTCTAGCATATGAAACAGTTCATATAATGCTAATTTAATATATTCTATTTTGCTATTAATCACTTTTTCTTTATTATCAGGGGAGACACCCACATTTCAAGGAGGCAAATGGATACTGTCTGCAGAGAATTAGATGACGTCAAAGCAGAGCTGGAGAAGCTTAAGGCAGAATGTCGAGTTAAAACAGAACTTGTTGAGAACCTGAAGAGTGCCCGCAATGAAGAATATCTGAAATTTCAAGAGATTATGCAGCAGACAGAGAAACAGGCCCATGAACTGCATCTTAAGTCTGAAGAAATATGCCTACTGAGGAAAGTCCATGAAGATCTCAAGTCTAATTTGCTTGAAAAAGAAACACACATCATGCATTTGACTTCAGAGAATCAGAAGATACAAGCTAATTTCGCTGAGAGATTATCAAAATTGGAAGAAGTAAATAAAGAGCTGGTGTTGGCTTTAGATGAACTGACAGTTAAAAACACTGAGCTAGAGCAGAATGCTTGTGTCAACAATAAGGAAATTTCGGGCCTCCGAACACTTCTTTCCGCTACAGAGAAGAAGTATCTAGAAGCAGAAGAGAAAAGCCGGGAAGCTAAAATGTTGAGACAGAGAGATGATTTTATAATTCAACTGGAGGAAGAAAATAGAAATATGCATGATAAAATGAAATGGAAAATCGAACAGTTTAGACATCTTGAAGAAGCTCACGAAAAGCTTCAAAGCCAATTCCAATCTGACAAGGAGCAGTGGGAGAAGGAGAAATCTGCACTCCTTGAGGAGATCACTTCCCTACAGACTAGTTTAGATGCTCAAACAAGAACTCTAGAAGCAGTACAATCCCGTCTAGAGATGTGCAACCATGCACTAGCTCACCAAGAAAGCAAGAGGAAACTCCTCGAGGCTGAAATATCTGAATTCAAGTCACGGTTTGAGGATGTTTTTACTCAATGTGAAGAAGAGAAGTCAAAGATACAGAGCTTGACCATTCAGAGGAATGAAGAAATAGCAGAGCTGAGAAATAACCTGGGAGAAAAAGAGACACTAGTGAGAGAAATGGAACTTAAAATTGTTCGGCTTGAACAAGAAAATCAGGACTTGGGAGATTCACTTAAAGAAATAAGGGAAGCACAAATCCAAAATGCTGGAGCAAATTCTTTGCTAACAAAGCTCCGTAACAAGCTTAGGCGGTTGGAAGAGACACACAAAGACTGTGCCTCAACTATGAAGTCTAGAGAGTGTCAATGGGGTTATCAAGTTAAAAAGATGGAAGCAGATATTGGGAGCTACAAATCTTCATTGACCAGTAAAGAGCAAGAAATAAAGGATCTTCTGATGGAACTGGAAAATTGTCATTGCGCAATTGAGGAATATTCTACGGGACTCTTGATCTTTAAATCAGAACTCGTAGAGGCTTACACCAAATTATTTAATGCAGAAAAAGATAAAGCTGTTCATATCGAAGCAAAAAAAGATATGCTGGAGGAAGAGCTTGAACTGTATAAGAA